ATGGAATTAGATTATATGCTTATGAAATCAGAATTTGTAGTAAATATGTTGGTAAAGTAAGATTTTTTTTCTAAATATGTGGTACATCTTGGTATGCAATCAGAAAATGTTGAAAGTTTGTATGATCATTGTGCTTCACTCAGAACATGTTCAAATGTTGGTATGAAATCAAAATTTGTTGAAAATATTTTATGATCTTTGTATGAAATCAGAATTTATATGCTTATGAAATCAAAATTTATGTTGTATATGTCGGTAAAAATATGATGAAATCATATTTATGCATGATTTATGTTGTACATGCGTGTTAAGTGGATGATTTATCTTTTATTTAATAATAGACATGATAGATAAAATTACTATAATTAGTTAGTATTTGGAGATTATGGACAAAAAAAATTTTGAAGCATGTATTCACGAACTAACATGTAATGGCAAGGAGGGTAGTGATTTAAAAGGAAGCTCGTGGACTGTAGTCGCGGAGAAACCGGAAAAAAAAATCGTAATTTTGTTGTCGACAGAAAACAAATGAAAAACTGATAGGACTATTTAAAAGCAAAGTATGATGTGTGGTTGAAATCTTTATAATCATGTAATGAACTCTTTCGACATTACTAATGAAAAATGGGAAGCAGAGGCGAAAGTGTATGTGTGTGTGTGTGTCTATATATATATATATATATATATATATATATATATATATATATATATATATATATATATATATATATATATATATATATATATATATTAGATTTTTTTGTTTTACTAGTTTGATAATATTTGTTAAATTTTCAAACGGCTGAACAAGTATGTAGATAAGCTAAGAAATGCACATCTTCCTTGCCCAGATCTTTGTTCCCAATTGTTTGATAAGGCGACCTTGACCGATGTTCACATTTGGGGGCCAACTTCGACACTACCTCATCCTACCATAGTGTTTACCACACATGATTATGAGGATACCGAAATGGAAAACCCAAGGCCGCATATGGATACCCCAACCTCAACCTCAACAGTAAGCCCACCTACTAGAGCTTCACCTACAAGTTAAGAATCCTATGGCCGAAAAAAAACAAGGGGTGGGGGGAAACAAAATGGTCCAAAGGAAACCACACTTGATGATGAGTTAAGAGAATTTGGAAAGGATATTGTCAAGGTTGCACAAGCATTCATGCAAGCAAACAATCTTGACAAGGATATGGATGAATATATGGCGAAGTTGGCAATCTTGGATTGGGAGAATATGATCCAAAATAAACCAATACTCTTATTCTATTCGTTGAAAATGCGAGTAATAGGAAAGTTTGGTTGTGCCTCAAGTTGACGGCTTGTGATTCATGGGTGACAAATACAGGAAAAAAAAGTTTGGATTATTTGTTTTAATTTAATATGTTATGGTTCATGATATGGATTGTTATGTTTAGAGTTTTTATGTGTTATGAGATTTTATGTTAGGATTGTTATGTGTTATGGATTGCTATGTTTATTGATTGGTATATGATATTGATTTATTTGTTATAAATTGTTATGTTATTAATTGTTATATTATTGATTTTATCTTATAGATTTATGCTATGGTTCATGTTATGGATTTCAATGTACTTTATATTTAACACTTAATAGATCACATATGGATAAATAAGGTAAATTTTTATATTTCCTTATATTCTCATTGTACCGGTTGATGTTGGTCTGACAAAGACAAAGAAGAATTGAAAGAGTAAGGTCCAACGAACTGATAGCAAATGGGCATGTGTATACGTTCCTACATAATGTTATGATATGATGTGTCTTTCACAAGATGCATTTATACTATTATGCCATCACTTTACACTAAGAAATTGATTGCAACGTAGTAGGACAATAAGTGTTGAAGAGAATACGGATATATTTTTATATGTTATAGTACATAATGAATGTTTTCGAGTAGTGAAAAGAAGATTTCAACACTCCACACAAATGATTCATCAAAGCTTTCATGAGGTCCTAA